CTGTACTCTTCATTCTTTGCCTTGGCTCGAGCTAACTCTTCCTCATGCCTTGATTCCATTTCATGCATCTCTTGATTGAGTACCTCTATCCGTTCGTTCTTTGCTCCGTACCTCTGTATCCAGAGAAATACTTCATCCTGTTTGCCTTGGAGCACACTCTCCCGATGTTGCCTTTCTAATTTTAGCTCTTTTTTGCTTTGCCTCTTCTCAGTTTCGAGCTCGTCAATTCTTTGCTTTCTAACCTCAAGTTCAAGTTGCATGTTATTTGCCTTCATTCTGAGTTCTTCAATATCAGCATGCAATTCTTCTTCTCGCTTCTTGCTCAAGGTGTACCTTTGTCTTAACTCTTTAGCCTCTGTCCTTTCGCTCTTCAGTGCCCTAACCCAGGACCTTCTCTCGGACTCAAGTTCTTGATTTCTTTTCTTCTTCTCTGTCTCTACTTCTCTGACTCGGTGCTCTCTCTCGGCTCTGACGTCTCTAACTCGACGATCCCTCTCAGCCCGGAGCTCTAATCACCACTGCTCTGATGTTCTCCCGAGGCCAGCAATTGCCCGTGCTCGACTCATCTTTTGGTAATCGCTCTGTAAACTAGTGAGATTGGCCTCCACTTCATCCTTTCTCTTGCGCATAAGCTCAAACTGTGTATTATAGAACCCCCTATCGATGTCCAACATGAAATTCTTTTGTCTAAGGGCCTCACACTCTGCTTCCTTCCTGGCGATTTCCGCTTCGAATTCACTCTTCAGTATCTCCAACTTAGACGGTACGTATTTAAACTGTGCTTCCAAAGGAATTGTTTGGTCACGATCTGCCAACGGAAGGATATCATTCTTTCGCACCACCCTCCATGCCACGTAATCTGGTGTCAGCATGACCTCAGCTGCTATGAAATCAGTTCTAAAGGTTGACTTCCACGCCTCTGACATTGCACGAGCAGACTTCTTGTAGTGATCTCCACAGTACACAAATTCAGATGCCTTCAGACCGAATGTAGCTGGGACGAAATGGCGTGCCCCAAATTGCCTCAGTACCATCAGTGGCGCATAACCTACTCCACCCCATAACCCTAATAGGGTTACCCAATCAGAATCCCCGCATTTGTACAACACATCCACAAAAGCTAACCAGAGGACACGCCACACTATATCATGCTCCTGTAAATTTCTGAAGAGTGAAACCCAACCCTTCCTGGTGAGATGCTCTGGCCACTCTTTAGTGAGGAAATCTTTTAAGGGTGAATAGGCCGTAGAAAACCGTCGACTATACTCTCGGTCAATTTTCCAGAAGTGACTGCGTATCCAAACAGTAAGCAACTGGACACACCCGGTGAAGCGGCTACTCTCAGCTCTTCTGCAACTGCTAAGTGCTCTGAATGTTTCGGCCAAAACCGTAGGAACAAGGTTTACCTTCCTTTCCAAACGCTCGAATAAATCGACCACTGCGGCTTCCACGTGATAAAGAACTTTCGGGAAAATCATCAAACCATAAATTCCCAAGGCGAACATCTCCATGCTCTTCTCGATATCGCTATGCTTGACGATAAGCTCCTTGAGGCATGACCAAGGGAAGCAATCGGACTCTCCCTTCTTTTGGATTCGATCAGCAACCTACTTCTCTCCCATCCCAGTAATCCTTGCGAGCTTGCTCTTAAAGGATTGTGTCCTTGAGGCTTTTGAGTATAATCGGTCCAAGTGTATCGTCTCGAAATGAAACAAGGAGGTGTATTCTTCTAACGTGGGAGTCATGTCTTCCTTGTTGAAAGTGAAGCAGCTATATGCGGGATTCCAAAACTGGATGAGAGCTTTGATTAGGGGTTCGTTTACTTTCATATACAACAGAAGGGCGATGTCACCATACTTTTTCCAGAAAGAGTATTTCACATCAGAATTCCAACTTTCCCAAATTTCGCGTAACTCTTGCAAATCGTTTTGCTTTAGACTGACCGGAGCAACCTCTGGTAGTACTGATATGTAATCTTCAGTCAAACTGTCGCCTTTCTTCCTCTGAGTTTCTTCGGACCATGACCTCACTTCCACGTTATCCATTTCCTTGTTATGAAAGCTCTTGTCCATTTTATGACCGCCTTCTACTTTTATGACCACCTTGTGAATCAACACATTTCTTCATGAATGATGATGCAATGCAGCAATAATAAATAAAACATAAAACACAAACAAAAATAAAACTGTGTTAGTATATACAATGAATAGTCAAAGAATAAACAAACAACATGAAGATAGAAAATATATACATCCTAAACCTTATTCACATGGTATCTACCCAACATGGCATCTACCGAATCATGCTTTAGTAGATCCTACCCAACATGATATTTACCCATATATTTTGTTACTCATAAAAAATCCTAACCGCATGGTATCTAATTCACATGCCTGTTCGAAAAATAAACCTAACCACATGATCTCTAGTTCGCGTACTTTTTGCAAAAAATAAATTCGAGGGAAAAGTTAGAATGAGTTTCCCCTTTGTGTCTGCGGACAGAGATTCAACATAAGATGGGCAGAGTTTCAGTATTTCTAAAAGGGTCCTCGAATTATCCTTTGCTGGTGCCCCCTTGGGCTTGCCAGACCCTCGATCCTCGCCCATTATAGGCTTAAAACGGATCAAGTTCAATTTCGAGAGGATACATTTCCCTATGTCCATGCGAGGAAACTCAATGTTTCACTCGTAAACATAAGGCATGTACCTCAGAGGTTACTAGCTAAAGCCCATGCGGAGAAAAGTAATTTTTCTCACGTAAGCGTAGCTTTCACCCCTACCTAACGGGACAGAGCACAGTTAGAGTGCTCTAAATATTAAAGGTTTACAGCAACAGTGGGAAAACTCATAATCCTTTGCCTCGATCCAAGAGAAACAATAGACTAAAGTGAAAGTCAGAAAACTGAAAACATGTAGATCACACATTAGTACAACTATTTACTTATTAACCCAAATTACAAATTAAGATGCACACAAAACAATTAAAACAAATAAGGGATCAAGAACCAAATCAAAGCGAACTTATAACTTTCGTTTGCAAAGACAATTAATTAATCGACTATAGGCCTGACTCTCTAAAAAGTCCCTAGTGGAGTCGCCAAGCTGTCGAAACGATTTTTAACGGTACGGGGTGAGATTTTTAAAACCGCGTCATTTTTAATTATTTTCTTTTCAATTGAATTTTTAATTAAAAACAATGTGATTTTTAGAAAACCTCTCATTTCGAAAATTTGGAAATCTCTTTACGATAAAAACATATGGTTCGAGGAGTCGTCACCAATCCTTGATTAGGGTGTGATTGGGCACCCAAAAATATTGCCATTTTAAATAAAAATTAATTTTAATTAAAACAACAAATTTGCGGTCTATGTTAACAAAATATGGGTTCGGGAGTCGGTTACGCGTGGAGAAGGATTAGCACCCCCACAGCGCCCTAAATCGGTACCTCGTCGATTAATTATTGTCTCTGCAACGAATTTCACAAGTTCGAATTTAATTTGATTTATGATCCCTTAAAACAACAAAACTGCAAATTTAAAACATTGAAAAGCAACAAAACAGATTTAATTAAAATTACCAAGTCATTAGAAAGATAAATGATATTCGATTATTTAAAAATATCGAGACCAGATCTTTAGGTAAGTTCTAACGATCTTTTCTCAAATAATTTAAATAGCCGAATATTTCTTTTTCTTTCATTCCCAAATTTTAAAGTGAAGAAATCGAATTTTTGATGTCACTGATGGGATACACTTGTAATTTAAAATCGTCGAGAACAACTTTCTTGTAAGTTAAGAAAAGCCATTCTGACGGTTTTAAATTAAAAGGGTATTACCCTTAATCCGATTATGTAATTAGGTCAAGTTGCATATGAGGACAACATGCATAAATTATACAAAGTGATGTTAATGCAAAAAATAATTAAATATGCGATTAAAGTGAATGAATTCAAACATGCTCATAAAAATAAATTACACCTACATGCGTATGAACAACATGCTTGAAATAATATATACATGCATATATTTAAAATAAATCTAAATTAACCTAACAATCATGCATAAAATATTAAAAGGACTAAAACATAAAAAATAAATAACAACAACCTTTTTCATAACATTTTCATTTCTGGGTACCTTGGTGACCCAACGGGGTTCGACTTTCAAATGGTGGTGATGGTTACTCTTCCACTCAAGGAGGTGAGGGTTTCATTTTTCCTTTTGTTGTTTTTGCTTTCCGATTGCTGATCGGTTTTTGGTTCGAGTATTTTTGGTTGTTTTCTCGTTTTTTTTTTGTGTTTTCCCTTTCTGTTTTCTCTCCTCCCCCCTCTGATCCCTGATGGTTTTTTCGTCCCCTTTTTCTGAACCTTGGTCACTCTCTATATCTGTTTTTTGTTGTTGGTTTTCTCTCCTCGATTTCTCCGTGCCTCTCGTTCTGTTTCTTGTTTCGTGTGTTTGCAGGGCACTGGCGAGAGCAGATCACGGGCGGCAGCTATGGGGAGCCGAGCTATTGTCCGGTTGGCGTGCGTGGTCTGGCAGCAGAGTTGGCTTCACGTGAGACTGCAGCTGGCTCGGGATGCTTGGGACGTTGTGAGCCGTTGGATCCTGATGCCAGATCCAATGGTGGTAGCTTGACGGCGCTGGAACCCTGACCAGAAACCCTAGTGGTCTTTGATCTGGACCGTTGGATGAGAAGCAGATCCAACGGTCCAGGATAAGCGGCGGCTGGATCCATAAGCTGGAAACCCTAACGGTTTTAGGGTTCTTCAAACAGGCTTGAACATCCAAGCCTGATTATTTTGATTTTTGGGCCACTTCGGTCCAGCTGGTTGTAATTTGGTATAGGCCCTGTAACAAAACATTTAATTAGTATACTCATATGTATTTTAATTGCTTAACATTCATTATAATTGCTTAGTTGCTTATATATCATATATAAATATAACCAAACATTAATCATATAAATGATAATAAACCCAATTCAACTTCGGAAAAGATTCCGGACAAATCGAGCATCTACACTTGCAGTGTCGGCGAAGTTCCAGAGAGGAAGATCGCTAAATCATCACACTCTTCTTCATCCAAATTAACCCACCGGAGGGGTTGCTTCCCCTCCTCGAAAAATGATTCTTTCAATGCCGCTTCTACACGGAAAATCTGACTCTCGACGGCGGCGATAAACTGGTTGTGCCTAGTTGCTGTAGTATCATCGCTACGACGATGTCCGCGGCTCAATCGTGTCGCTCTCTCGAACTCTTCCAACTGAATTCACATCCAAAATTATGGAGCAAACATTAACATGAGTATATGGTTCCAAGAAATGGATAAAAGGCAATGGTATCTAGCAAAAGAGACCACTCTTAATTTTTGTCAAAGTATCAATCCCTGATGTTGTGCTCGTGATCGTTTGTTTATTTTTTAATGTGCTCATGTATGGTTCGTGTTCATTTAAATCTTCAGTATCGTGTTCGTGTTCGTTTATTTATTTCTGAAGATGTTCGTGTTTATTCATTTAACGTTCATGAACATGTTTGTTTAGCGTTCGCAGACATGTTCGTTTAATGTTTGACAACAAACACTTTTTCACTCTTTATTTGCAAGCTAAAGAAAAATAGTTAAATTACACCATTAGTTTTTAAATTTCTTAAGCTTCACAATTTGAACTCTAAAATTCACCTCATCTTCAGTTTAGTCCGTACCTTCACAAATATATAAAATTAAAAAAATAAAAGGAAAAAGAGAACCGACTAAACAGCTTATAAATGACATGGTAAACGAACTTATAAACGAGTCAATACATGAGCTTGTTCATGAACATAAATGAACCTAACACACTGTTGTTCGTGTTCGATCATTTATTAAATGAACATAAACATTTTGTTCATGCTCATTTATTTAACTTAATAAACGAACATAAGCAAACGTTATACCAACAGTTCGTCAAACACTCTGTTCATTTACATCACTATCCCCCAATTTGATGGTTTAATTGCACATTTTAGCCACTGATAATTTTGAAACCATTGAATTAAGTTTTGTCCCTTCCCTTTTCAAGAAATTAACCCCTCAGTTGCTTTGGTTTAATTACTTTTCAAGACCCCGACCGTTCCAAAATTAAGCAATTTAACCCCTCATAGTTCAATTCTGGCTCCGTCTCTGCCGACATCCGACAAAGACTAAAACCCAAGTAACATAGATGTCTTAAAATGTGATTAGTTCAAGTAATGAAATTCATACCTGCCATTTAGCAGTGCCTAAAGCAGTTTGCAATTCTCTACAAAGTTGAGCATAATCTTCAGTTTTTAGCCCTTTTCTCTTCTCTTTGATCCACATCCTATATGCTGATTCCATTCTGAAAAAAAACAACAGACGCCATGAAAATAGCTTCAAAAACTCATTTTTCAAAAATGTTTGAAGCTTAAATCAGGGTTTTAAATAGCATTTACGATCACGTTTTCGATTGCGTCGCGTTTATCACGGTTGCGGATATAATGGATACTATTGCAGTCATTGCGGATATCACAATCGTGAAATTTTTTTGAATGAGCTGGTTTATTTTAATAAAAAAACCTATTTTTTTTAAAAAAAAATTAAAATAACGTAATAATAGCAGAATAGCAGCCCGCTATTACCGCGATTCGTTAAATTGCGACCGCGATATGCCGTTATTGGTGTGATCTCACTTCACACCGTTATTTTCTGAGATAACAATTTCAGACACCGCCACGACCGTAATATAACGACCGAGACATCGTTATTCGACCACTATTTAAAACCCTGGCTTAAACATCACATACACAAAACCCTTATCACGTAGTTAATGAATTACATCAAGCATTACAAGATCTCCATTCAATACCAAATTTAAAGAAAACCCTTTCTGATTAAGGGTGAACAAAGATTAAGGGTGAACAAAACTCAATCCGACACGAAATGTCGATCTTTTCGACTAGAAAAAAACTCTACTTAAATTCACTCGAAAAGATTTTAAATTCGAGTCTAGTTACAAGAATAGAAATCTAATAATTCGAATAGTAATTCAAAATTTTTGGAAATTAGTGGGTTGGTTTTCATGTTTGAGTCAGAGATGTCAATTATATATATGATATTAATAAATCACATACAATAACATACGAATAAATATATACGAATTACATATAGTTATAGAAAATCGTTTAAATTAAAATTAGATAGTAACATAATATTATAAATATTTACCATCAAATTTAAACATAAAATCGAACAATTGAGCTCAAATTTTAAAAATTCCGCCTTGAAAATTTACAAATAAAGTTTTTCGACTCGATTCGACTCGATCGAACACTCACACTACTCACGTTCAAACAGAAAAATCCCAAATCACCTACCAACTCCATCGATGAACAAATTTAAAGAAATCAAAACTCAAGCAAAAAATTAGACATGGAAGTTAAAATAATAAACATACATATCAGCAGATTCTTGAACCTCTTCAGCTGCAGAAAAGAAGGCATCTTTCTGCCACAAATCAAAACTGTTTGCAACCATCTTCTTCTTCTTCTTCTTCAACCGTTCAACAGCTTCAAACGCCAAATGAAATTATAAAAAGAAAGCCATCGATGGATTTGGAAAAATTGGTTCTTTTCTTTCCGTTTGATGCCTTCTCTTTCTCTTCCTATTGCGAAAGCAAACACAGCGTGAGCCGAAGAAGAGATGAGGAAAAAGAAGAGACGTACAGTGGATTTCCTTCTTTCTCTCACCTTTCTCTTTTCACTTAATACGAAAATAAATATTTAAATTATATTTAAAATTAATTTTTTATGTTTTAATAATTTTTTTTGTTAAAAATAAATATTTAAAAAAATTCGTTACAGTTTTAGGTGTATAATAAAAAATAATATTTTTTAAAAATAATATTTATTTAAAAAAATTAACGTGACATGTCACTTAACGATATTTTTCTAACGATAGACATCTAAACATGTAATGAAAAAAATTTTAAACACATATTTTTAACGAAAATTTTTAAACACTAAAATATTATTTAGCCATTTTTTTATAGTAAGACTTCTCTTTTTTGTACTCCATCTTTCAAGTTTTTATTCATGTAAAGTTTATATAATATATTTATGTTAAATTCCACAAACGATCCCTGTAGTATGTATTCTTTGTGAAACACTTAGTACTTCATTACGAGTTTGATCATTTACTTGAGTGAAGTATACAAATGGTCCCCCAACTATAGGATATTATTTTATTAAGTCGACTATATAGTTTGCTTTGTGAATTCCTAAAAATTACAAAATGATCACTCAACTTCATTATATATGTTCCGAACTCATCCTTTTCGTCGAAAAATTGATGGTTGTCTAAGTGACATTAACATGATGATTGATAGTCGTCTGAGATTCTGATAAGATTTTATGATATCGCACTCAGTAATTAACGTTCAGCTCATAATAGATATAAAATAAAATTACAAACATTTAAATTAGATAAAAAGCATAGTACAAGGTACTTATATAATTTGACCGAAAATATCATCTAAAGAATCAATATTTATTGAATATAATTCTTAATTATATCAAGAAACTTTTTTTAAATTGAGGAGGAGGTTCTCTTCGGTGTGTTACGGCTAAACTTTTTATTCTAACAACCAATCAAATCTCTCCACGTCAATAGATGAGTCAGTTTGGCTGACGTGTTTTAATTGAAGTTGATTCTTTAAGTAAGAAAAACGGACTGGAAGCAGGTGATAGAAACTCTGTAAAAGTGCAAAGGAGGCGTCGGCAGTCGCATTAATAGATTGAAGTGCTATTAAATATACGGTAAATCTTCTTATTAAAGGACCATAGAGTATCAAAAGTTATAAAAGAGTCTTTTGATAATATTATTTTGTTGAGTCCATCGATTATTAAAAGTTATAAATCACTTAATGATTTCAATGTTCCAATTTTATCCTTTTTGGATAAAAAAATTGATGAAAATTTGAGTTGGATGTTATCTGTTGATTTAGATATGAGAAATCTGATTCTGGAATCTCAAACTATCTATCATAGTCAACATGTTAACGTCCAATTCAGATTGTCATCATTTTAACAGAAAGAACGAGTTTGAAACATATGAAATAATCGAGTGACCCATTTTGTAACTTTTAATAGTCGAGAGACCCAAAAAACAATATCCTAAGTCAAAGGATCATTTATAACTTTAAGGCTGATGAACTTAATAAAGCATCGTTCTATAGTCGGGGAATCATTCGTCTTCTCTTCACCCTAAAATATAATTACTTCATTACATAATTAGTAAAATTATATATAGAATGAAAAATATGAAATGGTAACTTAATAATTACAAATTTGTTCTTAAAGGCAAATATCAAGAAAATATTTATTTAAAACACAATTAATAATTGAATTTGTACCTAAATATTTACTATTATATTGTGACATATTTAGTAATTATGATAATGAATTTATTATAAATGAAGTGTTCAATTATAAAGATAATTAGTCTTAATAGATTAAATTTTTTTATTTATTTTCTAATTAATAAATTCTAGTAAATTATAATTACATTTTGTTAGTTAAATAGAGTTAGAGAATTAGAATTATGTATAATTGTAAGAGGGTGTAATTGATATCCAAAGAAAAGGATTTATGTGATCCAACTGATACCTAATTGCCAGTTTTGGTCCGTTTTAATACTTAAATTTTTATTTTTTTCAAAATCATACTTAACATTTAGTTTTTGTTTCATTTTACTATCATGTCGTTAAAAGTTTAACGTGTTTAATACATAAACTGTCAGTTTTAGTTCGTTTTAGTATCTAAAATTTGTACCTAAAAAAATGACATTCATGAAAGTTGGTAGTTTATATTATTTTCACCTGTCCATTTTATCTAAATAGAAAAATATTAATTTAAGCATAGATGTCACCAAATAATTACAAATTTGTACATCAAAGCTTCAATATGATCATATTCCAACTAAAAGTAAATCTTACTCAAATAACTTCAAACAGACCCACCATATTTTGACATGACTAATGCGAGTAGGGGTGTAAATGAACAAAGCGTTTGGTGAATTTTTCGTGAATCATTCGTATAACGTTCGTTTGTTAAGTAATAAACGAGTAGAACAAAAGTTTTTATGTTCATTTAATAAACGGATGAACACAAATAGATGTGTGTTCGGTTCGTTTATGTTCACAAACAAACTCGTTTATGAGCTCGTTTATAAGTTCATTCATAAGCTCGTTATAAGTTCATTTATGAACTCGTTCATTTATGAACATGAACAAGCTCGTTTATCCGTCTCCTTTTCCTTTTATTTTTTTATTTTAAATATTGGTGAATGTATGTACTAATTGAACACATGGTAAATTAAATTAAATTGTGAATTCTAAAAGGTTTAAGAACTAGTGGCGTAATTTTACTATTTTCTTTAGCTTGCAAATGAAAGGGTAAAACTAAAAGTTGAACACAAAAACGAACATTAAACAAACACTAAACGAATAGTTTGTGACCGCTAATGAACACGTTCACGAACATGAAACGAACATATTCACAAACAATAATTATGAACACCTTTAAAAATAATTAATAAACATGAACATAACATTGTTCGTTCAAACTCATTCATTTACACCCCTAATTGCCACATCCTATCAAATTGATGAAGTATATTAAAGGTCATTAAATTTTCAAAAGTTATAAAACTATCATTAAATTTATGATCTATTATAAAATCATCATTATATTATCAAACTATTATAAAATGTTCATTAAATTTATCAAACTTTTACAATATATATATATATATATATATATATAATTTATCAAATTTTTACAATTATTATAACATTGTAGTGACTACTTTGCAATAGTTTGATAAATTTATTGACTATTTTATAACTTTGAAAAGTTTAATGTCTAAAATGATTGTTTGAGCATAATTCAACGGCATATGATGTAATTTACCCTTAATGAATTAATGTGGAACAATGGGAAATGTAGATTAATAAATGAATGAATGGTAGGAAAGATGTTAACATCATCACTTAACCACCACTTTAACTACCATTTTCTTTATTTTATTATCCTGATTTAATTATATTTTTAGTCCCTCTACTATGTTCAAATTGAGATTTAATCTTTGTTTTAATTTATATACTTTTATAATGTTATTAATAGTCTAAATTAATAGCATCATTAACTATTATAGTCGGTAACTTAAACTTTAAAATATTTGGAAGTTTAAATTAAATTTTCAAAAGTTTTGAAGGGTTTAATTTATTTTCCAAAATATTAGGGTCAAACTAAAATTTTTGAAATTTTGAGAGGCTAATAAGATTTTTTTTAAAATATGGGAGGATATTTAGTTAAGAACATTAAAAGTTTTAAAGTTTAATCTGAATTTTTTTAAAAATATTGGGGGACCAAATTATTTTTAATTTAAAGGGTCCAAATTATAATTTTTAAAATTTTGGGGTCGGAGACATGACCCCCACTAGCCCTGCTTATGTTCCGCCACTAATTATAGTAGAAGTATATGCATTTTTACTAATTACTCATTCATTCAGTGGAACGAGGCGTTAGTCTCTTAAATAATGTATGAGGTTCAAATTCTAGATCGTGAATGAAATAAATTGAGTTGTTTCACATAAATGGTTTTTCTATACCCGATTTGAATTGATTGATTCATAAATCATATACTGATGATTATATAAGAAATATATGATTTTTTCTGAAAAAAATTACCCAGACTATCTTTATTGTAAGAAAGTTATAAACAAAAAAAATTACATAGTTTAACGTTAATAATGAATCGTTTTATCAATTGGGACCTACTAATCACATTATAAGAGTAGATGAACCAAATAATATCAAATTTAAGTACATAGAGTAAATCTCGAACTTCAACATGGTATAGGGACTAAAACCACGATTAAACCTTTCTTTCTCTATTTCCTTCCATTAATTTATTTGTAGACATATGTTAATTTCCGTGCAAACATTAGAAAATTTAAAAAATATGATAAAGTATATTGACGGCATGAAACAAACAAATAAATCATTGTACCATTATTCATGTGGAAATGTCAATACATGGTCGCTTTAAAGTTTGTCACTTTTGTTTTATTTTTTTAACCTATGGTCACTCGATTCAGAAACGTCAAGACGTGGTCGCTTTTGTTTCGTTTTAATTAAGACGTGATCGTTGAGACGTTAGTTATCGTGAGTTAGATGACGTGACACATTAATAAAAATATTTAATTTTTATTTGAACCCTTAAACTTGAGATAAATTACTAATTATAGGTATTTTTGTAAATCTAAAATTATTCAGAGATAAAAATCAATCAACCCTTTCCCCCCTTATGTTTTATTCCCAATTCAGAAATGGAAAATCCCTAAAATCAAACCCCCCCAAATTTCATTTTACTCTCGTCACCATTCTATCGATCCCCTGCCATCATTCGATCGCGGGTGACCGTCACCGTCGATGCTATTGTGAGCGCCTGATCACAACGATCAAAACCCCGTTGAGAGTGTCCCATGAACCACTGTCGTTCGACGTGGAAAGCTCGTCAAAGTTCTATCGGAGAACTCAAAATCACCACACT